CCTATGTCCCACACATGCTTTATTTTTCCCTATAACATTTATCCACACAAGATATATTATATATTCTGCTTACTTGTTTATTATCTGTCTCAGTCCTTTAAAATGCTAGTACTATGAAAGCAGGGATTTTTGCTTGGTTTGCTCACTGCTATGTCCCTCCCCAGCATCTTCAACAGTGCCTGGCACATGGTAAGAGTTCATGAAGTATTAGCGAAATAGACAAATGATTCTAAGTTTGGGAAATAATACTGGTGCCTATCAAAAATAGACTACTATATAAGATGCTGTCAAATACAAATAGACTAAAAAAAAACATAGCCTTCCTCTTAAAGACTCTTCTTGGAGAACCAGGACTAATATACATGGGGTAATTAGTAAATAACACAGGCAATCCTAGGTATGACTGTTTGCTAATTAGGTTTATTTGTATAAGATTCATAGAATTGCCCTTGTTAGTCCTGATTATACTTAGCGTAAAATTAAATGCTGAACTGAATGGCATAAACTATTTCATACAAGTTCAGAAGGGGGAAAAGGAATGAGGTGTAATAGTAGGAACAGACTGTGGGCAGGAGACATTTGATTTGGGTTAGTGGATGTGAAGGCATGCACTGGCAGTGAACAGGTGGTGGGCATTTCAGATGAAGTGAACTTCATGAGAGGGCATAAAGGCAAGGGAAGGATGTGAGAAACCTATCCTAAACGGAAGAGAGGACACTCAGTGATGAGTGGTCGTGAGTGGTCGTGATCTGCAGAGTACAACGTGAGGAGAACTTGATTACGGAGAACATAACCTTCTGAGCAGAGGGCTTAGTCTGGATAGAATCTCACAGCATGTGCTGTTGTCTGTGCCCAGCTTGGATCTCCTGGAACCCTCCTAACAGTTTGCTACACCCCTCCCTCAGGTGTTTCTTCCATTGCTGCTAATGGTTCACACCAGTAATTTTTTTTTTTTTTTTTTTTTTTTTTTTTTTTTTGAGACAAGAATTTCACCCTCGTTGCCCAGGCTGGAGTACAATGGCATGATCTCAGCTCACTGCAACCTCCACCTCCCAGGTTCAAGTGAGTCTCCTGCCTCAGCCTCCCAAGTACCTGGGATTACAGGCATGTGCCGCCACACCCAGCTAATTTTTTGTATATTTAGTAGAGACAGGGTTTCTCCATGTTGGTCAGGTCAGTCTCGAGCTCCCAACCTCAGGTGATCTGTCCACCTTTGCCTCCCAAAGTGCTGGGATTATAGGCATGAGCCACCACGTCCAGCCACCACAGGAGTAATTTTCTTTGGAAGCAATAGAAGCTACCTATTCCTCTTCTCTCTGTTTACTCACACAACATACTTTCAGGAAAGGTGACAGCTAATTACTAATCAATACAAGGAAGGGGGTACAAAAGCCCAGTTTCATCACCTCAAGGCAAGACCAGCTCTCTGTAATACAATTTTGTTCCCAAGTTTCCTGCTGAATCAAGTGAAGCTGGATATCACCTGAAATCACACCTTTGCTCATCTCAGTTTCTTCTGCTTCCCAACCCTGTTTCACTCACTCCCTTCCAAGTAACATTTTAAAGGACTCCCTTACTGTATCACTTACACAAGAATCTCCATCTCAGGCTCTGCTCTAGCAAACTGGACTAAGCCAAGTCTGTGAATGATAGTAGTACATATTCATGCAGAAAACTTCAAGTTTATGAAGGAAAGAGTTGGACTAAGAAACTACTCTTGCGGGTAATTCAGTTTGGAAGAATTCAGAGCAGTCTGGTTGGTGACAAGTGGGATGAAGAAGTGACCAGAGGTCAATTGAGAATGCTGTTCAGGCCAGGTACAATGGATCATGTCTGTAATTCCAGCACTTTGGGAGGCTGAGGTGGGCAGATCACTTGAGGTCAGGAGCTCGAGACCAGCCTGGCCAACATGATAAAACCCCCTCTCTATTGAAAATACAAAAAAAATCAGTCAGGCGTGGTGGCATGCACCTGTGATCCCAGCTACTCGGGAGGCTGAGGTAGGAGAATCCCATGAACCCAGGAGGTGGAGGCTGCAGTAAGCCGAGACTGTGCCACTGCACTCCAGCCTGGTGACAGAACGAGATTCATTCTTAAAAAAAAAAAAAAAAAAAAAAAAAAAAAAAAAAAAAGTGCTGTTCAAATTTGGAAAACATACTTGCTTGGATATAAGAGAGAAAACTTAAGGAGAGAATGGTCCTGGCATAGAGAAGAATCAAAGGTATCTCTTCAAAGTTGTATTTTTTCCTTAAAAGGCAAAAGTATTTCTTCAGTAGCAGTGTCAATGTTATACTATGAATTTTGTTAACCACACACACTATCAAAACAAGCTGACATTGCCTAACACAAGAAGTGTTCAAAAACTTGAAGAGAACTTCAGTGAATAACAATGGGACTCTACAATATTTTGGGTCCTGGAATGTCTATTATTTAGAAATATGAAGATACAATTAGGATGTTTGTAACGAGTCTATTTTGTAAGTTGGTTTGTTAGATTTTGTATTTAAGCAGGCTGAAACAATCTTTATTAGAATCAGTAGCAGATTACTTAAATTGGAATGGAATCCAAATAGGGCAACATCTGGTTTTCATCTATTCTTATGGGGCCCAGAAGTGTTTTCAATAGAAAATCAGATACTGGTTCCTCGGTCATAAAATAAGCAGCACAATGTGAAAACAAGCAGGCTGGTGTGAAAGAAATTATATGCAACCCATGAAAGAGCTCATATCCTTACATAAACTTCCAGTTTTAGAATGTGTAAAACACCCTGTCAACATCTCTATTTGTTTTTGCTTTCTTGATATCTCAAATAAGTGAAGCTTCTTGACCTCTTGATTTCCCTTCAAAATTTATACTTGGTAAAATAAAAATGACTACTTTCATTTGATTAGTAACAACTTTCATGTTACATGTCTCAATATAGAGAACAAAAGAATACTAATGAAGCACATTTTCTTAGCAACCAATTACCTTTCTCATTGACTACTTTTCTACGCATTAAAATGTAAAGCTAATAGCCTATCAAAATTTAAAATACATATAAACATTGATTCAGCAGTCCCACTAAAAAGAATTTCTTTTTAAAAAACTTTTTTAAAAAGACCCTGAAGAGGAAACTGGTTAGAAACTCATGATACATCAAAATAGATCTGTATGTCCACATCAGTCTAAGTTTGTAAAAACAATATCCTATTCAGTTTTAATACCAAATTGATACTTACTCAGACAGGTAAATATAAATTATCCTGTAGAAATCCTTTCCCTAGCAATCCCTCGGACAGCAGTTGCAAAAAACAGAGAAGCAATATAAGTGTTTTTCATAAAACACTACTTCTAGGATAGGCTCCATGAAAAAGGTTCCATAGCCAAATACATTGGGAAGGTACAATGTTTTAATTCCCTCTTTATAAAATTTTTTTTGTTTGTTTTTTGGAAGCAGGGATAGAGTGTCACTTCATTGCCCAGGCTGGAGTGCAGTGGCATGATCTCGGCTCACTGCAATCTCTGCCTCCCGGGTTCAAGTGATTCTCCTGTCTTGGCCCCCGAGTAAGGGGATTATACTTTCTACTTTTATATTTACCTGTCTGAATGAATATCAATTTGGGATTACAGGCATGCACCACCACACCCATCTAACTTTTGTATTTTTAGTAGAGACTGTGTTTCACCATGTTGGCCAGGCTGGTCTCAAACTCCTGACCTCAGGCCTCCCAACGTCCTGGGATTACATGCGTGAGCCATGGCATGCAGGCTATTTCCTTCTTAAAGATTCATAATATGCATGACAATTTATAGAAGACTAAGACAATCATATGCAATATAATTATGGAACAGATTGGGGAGGGAGAAAAATGGTGTTTTCCAAATTTCATAGAATTCAGAACACTTTGTAATCAACAAAAACAAGATTTGCTTAAAATGCTCCATAACTACCTCATAAAGCTGAAGGTTTCACAGCTACCATCCTGTCACTTTCCATTCCCTCTTTCTCCTCCCTTCCCTTTAGCCCAGGATACTACAGTGATCAAACTTTATAAGTCATAATAACCACAGAGAACTTCAACAAATATAACTCCTGGTCTTTCCTTCCAGAAATTCTGATTCAGCATAGAAATCAGTATTTTCAACAAGCACTCTAGGTGATTTTGGTACAGGTTTCAAATGATGAGATGCTCAAAATACCTGATATTTTATAAATAATGTGATGATTAATTATTTTATAATTATGGCCAGACTGACTTTAGAAAGTAGTAGCAGTAAGTTAAAAAGGTTCAGCCTTCAAATGAGTCCATTAAAAATTATTTTTCTACTCAGAAAAAGAGAAAAGGACAAACTAAGGAAAGCCGTATCATACCCTAAAAGAATACCCTTTAATATACTGCTCAGAATTTTACCTAGCAAAAAGAACTCTTAGCCTACACTTCACTGAAAAATTTCAAGAATTCCTGGATTCTCTGAAATAGTATACACAATTTTCTTTTCTTTTCTTTTCTTTTCTTTAAGATAGGGTCTCATTCTGTCACCCAGGCTGGAGTGCAGTGGCACAATCAGAGTTTACTGCAACCTTGACCTCTTAGGCTCAAGCAATCCTCCTGCCTCAGCCTCCTGAGTAGCTGGAACTACAGGCACATGCCACCACACCTGGCTAATTTTTTTATGTTTTGTAGAGAGAAGAACTCATTATAGTGGCTAGGCTGGTCTCAAACTCCTTAGGTCAACCAATCCTCTCACCTTGGCCTCCTAAAGTGCTAGGATTACAGGCCCACACAATTTTCATTAGTATGGGAATACATGCCTTTTGATGGGGAAATAACCCATAGCTTTCAGCAATTCTCATGCTGCTCAATTATCCAATTTAAGAACCATTATTATTTTTTATTTATTTACTTGAAACGATGGTAGCAGAAACTGAGTCTTAGTTAACATCATGAATCAGACACACAAAAACACATTCCTCAATGTTGTTTTCTCTTTCAGGGACAAATAAAAAGCAACTTACCTTTGCAGAGTCATATTCAAAGAGCCTGTACAACCCTTAATCTTATTCTGGGCTTCAAGATGAGTCATTCCTTGTGCACTTATTCCATCAATGGTGAGAACCACATCACCTATTCTTACATTTGCCTGGGCTGCCTTGCCGCCATCTTTTAGCTGTAATAAATATATTTCATTAGGTGTGTCACTCTTTGAAAAAGAAAAATAAATGCTGATAAAAATTATACTTTTTCTTGTACCCAAAGTATATTAATATACTATTAAAGTAACCCAAAACTATCTTGTTTAACATGTAAAGAATTTTAGCACGTAAAGTGAAAATTCAAATAATTTTCATGTTTATTTTCTTAACTTCTTATTTGTTCTCTTTAAAAAAAAAATGGAAATAATTCTCTGAGAAAGATTCCCTGATCACTTCTTCATTGTGCAACAGTAGTTGTGGGATTTTTTTGTGAATCAGGAAGAGAAGCAACAACAAAAACTTCACATTTTAGCAGAATAAAAAGAATGCAATCTGAATGGGGTTTTTATACTCTTTTAGAAATATTTTTTTAAAACTCTTTTAACAGCTATATTTTTGTTTGAGCACAAAGAGGAATAGAGAGGGAAGATCTGCTAAACAATCCTTCCTGTTGAGTCCAGTTCATATGCAGGATTCTGGGACTGAAGTCTTTCAGATTCTAAGCCCAAGTATCTTTTATACTGGGTGCGCTTCCTGCTCTAGGCATTCATTCTCAGAAGGGAAACTCTTTGTATCTGAGACACCAGACCTTTTTTGTGTGTATCACAGTCCTTAATCCTTAGTCTTTCTTCCCCTGCTCAATAAAACCTTCTATGTGTTTATGTTATTTAGTTTGATCTCCTTCAAATTTCGTGTGTATATATTTCATTGCCCCAAAAGAAGCAGATATAATATTGCACTAGATGAGTGACAATGAACTTTTCATAGATACCTAGAAATATGGAACAACTACAAATTAAAGAAACCATTCAAATTGAAATGACAATTCAGCATTCAATAAGTACAAATAGATCACACTGAATACTGAGTTTCTGGAAGATGAGTGAGACTAGGCCTAAAAAAGCAAGTAAATAACCAGTATTCCTCTAGTACTTGAAACTAAAATCTTAGTTTCTGTTTGTGATGATGAAAAAGTTCTAGAAATAGATAGTCAGGAAGGTTGCACAACACTGAGTATTCAGCGAATACAACATTTTAAAATAATAAACCACTTTGGGAGGCCGAGGTGGGCAGATCACTTGAGGTCAGGAGTTTGAGACCAGCCTGGCCAACATGGTGAAACCCCGTCTGTACTAAAAACACAAAAATTAGCTGGGCATGGTGGTGCATGCCTGTAATTCCAGCTACTCAGGAGGCTGAGACAGGAGAATCGCTTGAACCCAGGAGGTTGCAGTGGGGCAAGATCGCGCCAGTGTACTCCAGCCTGGGTGACAGAGCAAGACTCTGTCTCCCCCCCAAAAAATAAAAAATAAAATAAAATGGTAAACATGGTTAACTTTTATATAATTTTATCACAGTTTAAAAAAAAAACTAATGATTTTAGAAAACATTTAAAGAAAGCAGTTCTGAAAGTGAGCTATATACCACTTTCTCTGGGACTTTGGGAAGGTCATTTCACTTATGCTATCAAGTTATCATAATGATTATATACAGATAATATAGTTCAATAAATTTTAGCTATTAATGTATTATTATTCCCTTGACCTCAGATTATTGGTCTGAGAAATGTGGGGCCTGCACCAGATGATCTTAAAGGTCTTCTAAGATCCCTGCTAGTTTTAAAAGTTTATCTGTGAGCTGCTACCTATAAAAAGTTACAGGTTTAATCCTAAAATACAAGTCAAATCTGGAAGACTTCTGTGACACAAAGGGACATCTATTCCCTACTAAAATCAACAAATGAATTGAAATTTGAAATTTTTGTAACAAAAGAAAATATAAACATAGGTCATCCTAGATTTTATTTTAGCAAAGAAGGGCAGGTATTAAAAAAAAATTAGGCCTGGCTTGGTGGCTCACGCCTATAATCCCAGTGCTTTGGGAAACCGAGGTAGGTGGATCACCTGAGGTCAGAAGTTCGAGACCAGCCTAGCCAACATGGTGAAACCCCCATCTCTACTAAAAATACAAAAATTAGCTGCGCATGGTGGTGGCTGCCTGTAATCCCAGCTACTTAGGAGGCTGAGGCAGGAGAATTGCTTGAACCCAGGAGGCGGAGATTGCAGTGGGCTGAGATTGTAGCACTACACTCCAGCCTGAGCAACAAGAGTGAGACTTTGTCTCAAAAAATAATAAAATAAAATAAATTTTAAAAAATAAAAAATAATTAACCAGAAATAGAATGCAGTTAAATTACCTCACCACTCTCATCTAAAGTAGTCTTAAAACAGAAACACTGAAATCAATGGGCACTTGTTCTAAACATACCCAAAAGAAACAACTTAAATACTCCTAGTTAGTAGTAATACAAAGGTAATGAACAATGTAGAAAGTAATGGAATCAAAGACAATGTCATAACCAAATAACTTTTCTTATTCTATTCCCCTTACATACTTGATCTCTTGATACTCTATCATCTTAAGATGTTCAAAACCAATTTCTTAGAATTACCTTTCTTTCTAGGACTGCTTTTATTCTGTCACCCTTATTTTCAGATCATGGAGCACAGGAATCCCGTAGCCACATAGATTCTGCCCCTTCTTTAAGTACCACATCTAGGAAAATTTCTAAATGTACCAGTGTAAATGTAATCTGTCCATCCTTCCATTCCTCTCCTGTGATACTCCAAGTCTTGCTCATCTTTCACCTTGTCCCTGCCTATAGCCTACTTGCCTTCCACTAGAGTTTCCTATAGACCTTCCCTACCTTCGCATGCTCCATATTTGTCTTTTCCATTCCCGAATGGTAGCCCCACTACCTCTCGTACTGGAGAGTTCTAACCATATCAACTCTCTCTTTATAAAATGAGTAGAAAAACTGCAAATGTCTTCTGTTTCCTATAATGTAAAAAAAAAAAAAAAAAAAATCTATAATTTGTCACCAATCTGTTTCCAACTGCAAAACAAGCTCCATAAGATCAGGGTTATATTTTGCTCTTCTCCGAGAGCCTTGAATATTGTAGGTTTTCTAAAACTTACACAACTTCCCTTGGTAACTTAGTACAATAAGTATTAAGAACTTAGCTGTACTGAATCTCAATTCTTTCTCAACCAATTAGCACAAATGGAAACAAATGCCCATCATCTCAACAATTTTTCATATATTTAAAATGCCATACAAACTCCCCCCCCTTTTTTTTTTTTACAGTTTTTCAGCTTGGTAATATTAATCATCTTGAGTTTTTGACACTGATGTCTTTTTGGAATCTCTAACTATCTTCATTATTCTCTACCCCAGCTTCCTACTCATATATCGTAAACTTGAGGGCGTGATGAGCTTGAGCTAATGCTATATATAGTGGGAAATGCCCAATACACAGAAAAACAAATTTAGGACTTGTAAAAAGGCAGCACTTAACTAAATATTCCTATGAGCTTCATTTATCCCAGAACCACTTCCTCAATCTTTTCACTCATTAGAAAGATAAATGTTGCTTTTCTCTTAATTGGGTAGAATGTAGCATTATGAATACCAGCAGCTAAGGAAAGACTACAGTCATTCATTATTTGCATAGCTCTTTGTTTGTTTGTTTCACTGTTGAATTTCAAGTCTGAATAGCTTACATTTGTTTAAAGCAATAGTAACTTTCTGTCATTAGTACATCTTGAACAGGGCAACCACAAGTGTGTGTATATTTCATAAATGCACAGAGTAGGAAGGAAGCAGTTGTGGGAGGCTCCTGGGTTGAGCTCTGTATAAATCAAACTAATCAGAAGCAAATGCTTCTTTTTTGATCTTTAAATGCATTTTTCAATACTGCTATCCAATCTAATTTTCCACAGACTTAATTGTAGCTGTGTGCTTTTTCAAAAACATTACTTTGTGGTCTCACTTTAGTTGCAAGTACACATGGCTGTACATGTTGGAACTACCTCTGAGTTCAGGTCTGTTTACTGATGCTGAAATGAAGGAAAACCAGAAAACTGTATGCTTTTGAAGAGAGTGTTATCTTTACTAAGCCTCCCCATTAATTTTGGTAGGAAAGGATCTAGTATCAATTATCTGTACTCAGATTAAAACTCATCCCTAGGAACAGCTGCATTTTAATTCTTTTATCTGTAATAACAGATTACAAGAAGTCTTCTCTTGAAAAGGAAGTCCAGTCTTTAGCAAGCAGTTAGGAAAGACTGGGAGTTTGCAAGCAGATAGGAAAGACTGGGAGTTTGCGGGGAGAATGTAAAATGGAATCAGAGCCTTGAGCTTGCCCATCCTTCTTAACTAGGAAAGACCCAAAGGTAAATTTTTTTCAGTCATTTTAGGAAGGTAGCTCCTCTCACACAGTGTTTTACTATCCTAAGAAAGAAATGACCCAGAAAAAGTAATTAGTACTATCTACAAAGCATGAACCATAAGTTGGGGACTTTGTGGGATGCTTCAACGTTCCTCTCTATTGTAAGGTAGTTGTAGTCTGTTTTACAGATGGGAAAACAGAGCTTCAACATGATTAAATAACTTGTCTATGTCCATACAACAAATAAGACCACAATACTGAACACAGGCTTTGAAGTTAGGCAAATGAGTTCATATTCATGTTCTGCTATTTACTAGTTGTGTGACCTGAATTTACTTGGCCTCTCTAAGTCCCAGTTTCCTCTCTTTGAATATTAGGACCATAATTCCACCTCCTTCACAGAGCTGCTGAGCAGGTTAAATTAAACACCAGCACAGCACGTACCACAAAATGCACAGGAAATCTTCAATATTATTGTTTATTTTTATACGATGCCACAAATTCACATAGGTGGGAAGCTTACTTCAAGGTCGTACAGGGCAGAAAAGATAGCGTTTCAAACTGACCAGTCATACCTACTTCTGGGTTTTCACTTCCTTACTTAAACTTCCTTCTGCTTCTTTCTAAGTCTAACTTTCCCCTCACTAAGCAACAGAGATGAGTATGCCACACATTCAGAATCTAGTTCACTGCACCCTCCTTCCCTCTGTACTACTATCCAATTATGAGTTTTCCAAAATCCA